ACACTTCTTCAACAGTAATGAGAGTACTTCACGAATCTCACACAAGCTCTCACAGTACGCAAAATCTAATTTGTTCACATTAATAAGAGACCTGAATCATTTCCTTAAAGGAGATATTCTTTGTCTAATGTTCTTCCCATCTAATTTGGGGTTCATTTTATCTTTTAGTGATGTTTGTTCCACTCTGTCCTAACTGAAAATCGATCTCCCTGATAAGAGAAGACAAAGGAAAATGTGAGTTCCAAGTTCTACCTTCTCTCATAATCTTCCACTGCAGGCAGCAAGTCAGTGTTTTCCATGCCCAGACTATTTTCAAATGTTCTTTTTATTACTTTTAATATTTTTAAAACCTTGGCTTACTGTGACCTAACATCTTCTTGACACTAGACTGTTTTCTGCTTATAAACTTCCTAACATCAGTATTTTAGATACTGTGCCCAAATGTTCACTTTTACGGTAATCACTTATGTCTGTGTAGTCAGAATTGTGTTTCTGAGAGCCTCCCAACCACCTGAGCTTTCTTTTTCTTTCAATCTCAAGCCATAGATCACATCAATAATACAGTATGCATAAAATGTTTAATTTTTAAACTCAGATGCAGTGAGCTTACAAATGAAGTGTGTGTGCTGGTTTACTTTACATTTTGCCATAACAGGGGACTCCTAAACAACTTGAGAAATAATACATTTTAAAAGATTCCAAGCAAGTTTTAATATGAGAACATTTTCCCCTAACTTTTCCAAAGTTAGCTTAGTTTTATTTGAAAATCAAAAAGTGAAAGTGTTTAATTCACTAAGTATTCATCTGTGAGTATCAGGATTAAAACCAGAGTTAAGATTTATTTCCATCTAGACTTTCTACAATGCATATTTTTGTAAAGCGAGATCCTAATATTTACACATAAATTTTGATTACTGCTTTTTCACTTATTAAGAACATTTTTCCATGTCCTTAAAAACTCTTCCTAAACATTATTTTTCATGGCTGCCTAGTATTCTATCACATGGTCTTATGGTTTGAATTGTGTCTCCCCCCAAAAAAGATGTGTTGAAGTCCTAACCCCCAGTAACTCAGAATGTGGCCTTATTTGGAAATAGGGTCATTGAAGATGTAATTTGTGAAATTAAGATAAGGTTACACTGGAGTAGGCAGACCCCTAATCCAATATAACTGGCGTCCTTATAGGAAGATAGCCATGTGAAGACACAGAGACACATGGAGATGAAAGACACGTGGCCATGTGAAAATGAAAGCCAATGATTAGAGTGAAGCCAAGGAATGACAGGGATTGCTGGCCATCACCAGAAGCTAGGAGAGAGGCATGGAAGAGATGGAACAGATTCTCCTTCAGAGAAGGAACCAACACTGCTGACACCTTGATTTCAGACTTCCTCTGAAACAGTGACAGAGAAATATTTGTTGTTCTAAGCTACCCAGTTTGTGTTACTTTGTTAACAGCACCCACAGGAAACAAATACACAAATACATGGTATACCAAGAGTTTTCTCAACCATTCCCCTATGGGAAACATTTAGATAGTTTCCAACTTTTCCTCTATGAACAAAACTGCCAAGAATACTTTATATATATTTTGTTTGCATCTTAGATTATTGCCATGAAGTAGATTCCAAGTAGGAACACTATGTTAAAAAGTATAAATATTTTAAGGTTGTTTTCTTTAAAAAAAATCATTTATTGAAGTATAGTTGATTCACAATGTTGTATTAGTTTCTGATGTACAGCAAAGTGATTCAGTTATATATATATATTCTTTTTCATATTCTTTTCCATTATGGTTTATTACAGGATACTGATACAGTACCCTGTGCTATACAACAGTAGGAACTTGTTTATCTATTTTACATATAGTGTTTGTATCTGCTAATCCCAAACTCCTAATTTATCCCTCCCATAACCCCTTTCCCCTTTGGTAACCATAAGTTTGTTTTCTGTCTGTGAGTCCATTTCTGTTTTGTAAATAATTTCATTTGTATCATATTTTAGATTCCACATATAAGTGATATCATATGATATTTGTCTTTCTCCTTCTGACTTACTTCACTTAGTATAAACTTAATTTTAAGGTTTTAATGTATATTGTCAAAATAATTTCCAGAAAGTGTTATGGTCTACAGTGCTTGTAAAATTTTCCTAATTTTAATAAGCAAAAAAAGAAAGAAAAGAGAAAGCAATATGTAATTTAAATTTGTATATCTATGAATACTAGTGAAAGCAAATTTTTTTCATGTTTATTAGTCATTTGAATTACCTTATTTTTAAATGATATGCTCTTGTAGAAGTTGCATTTGTATGGAAAAACACTAACGATTCAACCCATATCAGAAGACAAAAATGAAGATATATTTAAAGTGAAACCTAGAATCTATAAAACAAATTCAGGACCATAAGTCTTCCAGTTACGATCACTGAAAGTATTTAAAAGAAATTAATTGTAATCATGCAATTATTTCTCAAAGCAAAAGTGGAGCGGGAGGAGAGAGGATGAAAATATAGACACATATATTTATACAAGAAAATTAAATACAAGAAAAGTAAATAGTTTCATTAGATATTACTCATCTTCTATATATTTTAGTGATTAAGGTTTTCTTTTTATATACAATGGAGTATTACTCAGCCATAAAAAGAAACGAAATTGAGTTATTTGTAGTGAGGTGGATGGACCTAGAGTCTGTCATACAGAGTGAAGTCAGTCAGAAAGACAAAAACAAATACCATATGCTAACACATATATATGGAATCTGAGGGAAAAAAAATGGTCATGAAGAACCTAGGGGCAAAACAGGAATAAAGACACAGACCTACTAGAGAATGGACTTGAGGATATGGGGAGGGGGAAGGGTAAGCTGTAACAAAGTGAGAGAGTGGCATGGACCTTTATACACTACCAAATGTAAAATAGCTAGTGGGAAGCAGCCGCATAGCACAGGGAGGTCAGCTCGGTGCTTTGTGACCACCTAGAGGGGTGGGATAGGGAGGGTGGGAGGGAGGGAGACGCAAGAGGGAAGAGATATGGGAACATATGTATATATGTATAACTGATTCACTTTGTTATAAAGCAGAAACTAACACGCCATTGTAAAGCAATTATACTCCAATAAAGATGTTAAAAAAATAAATAAAAAAAATAAATGCATCTTAATACTGGACAATGAAATATCAAGTATTTCTGAGGCTCAGAACGGTCTTTAAAAAAGCAAGGGGTACATAATTTGTAGTTTCCCAAAAATAAAACACTTTCTTATTCCAATTCTTTACATGGGTTAAAGTGACAAATAGGAGAAAAAGATTAAAAGATAGTCAAACACTTACATTAGAGCCTTCCTTGACTGAAGATTTGAAATGTACTGGTTTGGGCAATGTTAGTATTCCTTTTATAGAAATAGTAGGATTATCTCCATAACTAGAGGGCCAACTTAAATCTCTACACTAGAAAGATAAAATAAAAATACAGTTTGAGTTTTACAAAGGACTCTGACAATACAAATATTTGATACATTTCTTGAGTTAATGACTTAAATAAAAACTATAGGGCTTCCCTGGTGGTACAGTGGTTGAGAATACACCTGCCAATACAGGAGACACGGGTTCAAGCCCTGGTCGGGAAGATCCCACATGCCGCGGAGCAACTAAGCCCGTGAGCCACAACTACTGAGCCCGCGTGCTGCAACTACTGAAGCCAGCAGGCCTAGAGCCCATGCTCCGCAACAAGGGAAGCCACCACAACGAGAAGCCCACACACCGCAATGAAGAGCGGCCCCCGCTCGCTGTAACTAGAGAAAGCTTGTGCGTAGCAACGGAGACCCAACACAGCCAAAATTAATAAATAAGTAAATTTATAAAAAAACTATAAAAGTAAACTTTAGTCTACTGAGATCTTCTGTTTCATCGACATTAAAATAATCTGACAGTGTTTTAGACATATCAATTTCCTTCTTGAGGTTAAAAGCAAACATATTTCCATCATACCTATAGATTTATTTTTCTTTAGATTCTTTATTAAATACTATTTTCTGTAAAATCCTATAGAACCTTAAATTCCAAAGAAGGTATTGACCCATTCCCTAGAAGAGAGCAACAGTAGATGCTTATAATTTATAGTCTAAATATTCAATTATGTAAAAGTTTGTATTAACTGTATTAACTTACCTGTAAAACTGTGATCCAGATCTGCTCTACTGAAGAATTATAAAACATTTTCACATTTAATCTCCCCAAATCTCTTTCATCTCCTGACAGAGTAATTGTATCTGCGTTGTCAAAGAACAAAGATGGTTGAATTAGTACGCAATCCTTCCAATCCAACTGAGCTTTGATACAACCCAATTTTAAGAGCACAACTGAAAACTGCTATAATTACTTTTTAAAGTTGTCAATTGATTAAGACAAAAATCACACTTCAATGCTTTTATTGAAGTGCTGGGGGAAGATATACTATAAAAAGTACCTGGCTTAAAAACTTAACTCAATTATAACCTGAAGAATTTAAGTTAAAACTAAGAAAAACTTTCCCAAATAACACTGATATGGCCTTAATATTGCATGCTTCTGGAAACTCCCTCACTAACATACTTTAAAACAAACAAAAGATATTTAATTTTAAAGATGCCTTTATGCCTGAACACTAAAAAATGGACCATCTGATCTGAGTATTCATATGCAGATAACACTGACAACATACATATAATCATCTAGACTTTTTTTAACCTTATCATAACTACATTCAAAATACTATTGGGTAGAAATAATTCCCTTAAGAATATAAAAGTAGAATACTTTATTCCTTACCCAGGCTTCTGTTACTCCCCTGAGAATTTTTCCTTGAAGAAGAACTACTGGGCATACTGGACAATGAATCATGTCTCTACAAACAAAATTCTTCTTTAGTCACATGTTGCATATCAGACTTTAAGGATTCTGAAACTGATGCCGCAATACCCACCCTAATATCAAACTGAGTGCTAATCATTCTGACAGTGTTACTGGTCAGAATTTTTCACTTTTAGGTAGTAAAGGGGGAAAAGATTTTCTGTGTGTGTTACCAGGAAAACAGTAAATATCTTACTAGGTAATATATGGGAAAGCCTTTGCTGTTTTTGGTTTGGTTTTGTAGTAAGGAGGAAGAGATTACTGTTTATATGTCATACTTGCAAATACTAATGAAAATCAGAATATATTTGGAAGTGCCCTGTTACCTAAAAACCTATAAAACAGCAGTTATCAAAGCATAGTCCCCTGGGCCAGCAGTTTCAGCATCACCTGGGAACTTGCTAGAAATACAAACTCAGGCCCTGATGCAGAGCTACTGAATCAAAAGCTCTGGGGGTGAGGCCTGGCAATCTGTATTTTAACAAGCTCTTCAAACAATTCTGATACATGGTAAAAAAAAAAAACTGGTGCTATAAAGAATTAATTCTGCAAAAAATTAACTCAACTGAGGATTATTAAGAATACATTTCCATTTAAATATATGTATATACATTCACATGGAAAAATGTCCACAGGTACATATAACAATATTTTCATAGTACTTTTATTCTCAGTTATAGGAACATAGGTGATTTGTCTTTTTACCTTGCTTAATTCTGGTTTCTACTTTTTAAATAATAATCACAGTTTACTTTATTTAAAAAACATTTTTTAAACATCAAAAAACTCAATTCTATTTCAAAAAAAGGAGAACATTGTGTTAATATTAATGACTAATTAAAGTTCTACATCGCAATAGAAATACTAGTTTTTACTAACTAGGTAGTTATGTTCAATAAGGAAAGTCAAATCAATAAGCACTTTTAAGTATAACATTTTAAATTCCAACTGCCTCAAGACTGCCTCATTACATACCATGAGAAAAGTAAGATTCATAAAAGAACAAGAGAAAAACTATTGCCTTTTAGTATTCAACTGAGACCTTCCTGAAATAACGCACATGGGAAATGCCAAGCGTTTTTTCTTTAGCTACTAGGACACATACATCTACAAAATATACATAACATGTTGTTCCTAATGTAATTCACACATTTCTGAAGTTTTAGCTTGAAAATAAATTACTGCATATAATTAAATTCATATAAATAATTTACCTGAATGAACTGCTGAGATGAACTTGTAAGATCAAACATAGACTTGCTTAGTCCAGGGGAATTGGGAAGTCTATTGGTCCTTAAGTCACAAACTACAAAGGGACATGAGAAAATTACTTATTTTTATAGTAAAGAAGAAGAGGGACTTCCCTGGAGGTGTAGTGGTTAAGAATCCGCCTGTCAACACAGGGGACACGAGTTCGAGCCCTGGTCCAGGAGGATCCCACATGCCACGGAGCAACTAAGCCCATGCGCCATAACTACTGAGCCTGCACTCTAGAGCCCACGAGCCACAACTACTAAGCTTGTGTGCCACAACTACTGAAGCCCACGTGCCTAGAGCCCATGCTCCGCAACAAAAAGAAGACACCATAATGAGAAGCCCGCACACTGCAATGAAGAGGAGCCCCCACTCGCTGCAACTAGAGAAGGCCCACACACAGCAACGAAGACCCAACACAGCCAAAAATTAACAATAAATGAATAAATTTTAAAAAAACACACACATTAAAAAAAAGGAGAAACACTTAATTCTACTTAATTACCATGAACTAAATCTCTATAGGAAATATAGCACGAATATTATATGCAAATCTACTTAAGAGACAAAGCCTTCTAATCAAGTTTAAAAATTGCTTTTCAATTATTTTACTTTTGTTTGAAACAGAAACCAACACAAATCAAACAACACATTTCCACATCCACATCAAATATCAAGCAGGAAAAATTCATTCTTTTTGCTTACATGATCCAATTCTTCATCCCAGAAGAATAATCTAAGAGGATGTAAGTCCTCTGTACTAAATGTAATTCAACTATTTAATGAGCACTTATTACAATACTGAATTCCATGTACTGTTATATTTCGAGTCTGTATATGTAGTTTCCTTCCTAAACTATAAGATCATTGAAGAATGGAATTCTGTATAATAATTGTATAGTCCAGCACAGTGCTGAAATACATATTTAAATAAGTATTTCTACTTTATTTCTAGTACCTCAGCCTGAATTCAGTGGTTGAGATAGCTATATATTTTTCCTGAATATCAGTGAAAATTTTGTGAATCAGATATGTACAGATAGTCTGTAATTGATACAGTCTCAAATATTAAACTAATGAAGATTGGTAATCATTTAGGCATTTTCTATTTTCTTTGTTTACATTTCTAATCTCATCATTAGTTTCTAAATGCATCATTTTCACTGAATAGAGCAGAAAATAAATAGAGCTAGTAAATACTTGTTGTAGAATATGAATGCATAGATGTTATATAAAATATGTGCAAAATCTAAAAATAAAATTTCTTTCAAAAAAGGACAAACAAAATGGAACTTGGAACTACCAATATACATAACTCATTAATCTTTCATTTTTACATTAGATATAAACCACAGAGAAGTTACGATGTTTATCATATCACTTCTGAAGCCTGCTTTTCTCTTTATTTTTAAATTGCTTTTCATAAGATGAATCATTTCTTCCAGAATTTAGATTTAATTTGATTTCTACATTTGTTAAAGAGGAAAAATTTTTTTCATACCTGATCCGTATCGTTTCGTTGTTTCTGAACGAGGAAGAAAGCGCCGACTCAAATCAGGTGACACATGCTGATACATATAGAATGGGTTATATACATCATAGCTGGGTCCATGCTGAGATGAACTGGAAAGTTCTACCTTTCTAGCTCCAAAAGATGCTCTGGCAGATCCTGAAAGCAAGTGTTTCTAAAGTTTTACAACACCCTTTTCTTGGAGTTATTAGCCAACAACTGGTGTACCCAAGGCAAAGGGAAAAAAATGTCTCAAGTAATACTAAATCACATGCATTTGATATCTAAAAAAAATGAGCAGATGTTTATTCAGGTCTAACTGTGTGGAGTATTCTCCCAGGAGTCAGTCATGAACCTTGCTCTCAAGACAGTCTGATAAATGTCTGGCATTCCTCTTTGCCCTACAGACAATTCTACATTTTGTGACCGGAGTTTCCTTTATTTTTCTACTGCAGAAAGAACATCTTTTAAGTAAAAAAGATAATCATTTTTTTGGAGATGCACTCTTTTCACAAAGACAGAACATTTATAAAAGCTGACCACATGCTGAGATACACAGAGCAGGTCTCAGTAAATTTGAAAGGACTGAAATCAGAGTATGTTCTATAACCACAATGCAATAAAGTTAGAAATCAAATAACGAAAAGAAGAATAAAAAATATTTATATGGGGGCTTCCCTGGTGGCACAGTGGTTGAGAGTCCGCCTGCCGATGCAGGGGACACGGATTTGTGCCCCGGTCCGGGAAGATCCCACATGCCGCGGAGCGGCTGGGCCCGTGAGCCACGGCCGCTGAGCCTGCGCGTCCGGAGCCTGTGCTCCGCAACGGGAGAGGCCACAACCGTGAGAGGCCCGTGTACCGCAAAAAAAAAAAAAAAAAAAAAAATTATATGTAAACATAAAGAACAAAAAACACCAAAATATAATCTTTAAGAAGAAAAACAAGACTGAAAGATTTGCTCTACTCAGTATTAAGAATAGAATATTTGAACAATAATAAGATCAATGGAAGAGTAGAAGGCTCAGAAAGAGAAACCCATTTTATGGACACTTGATTTATAATCAATGTGGCACTGCATAACAGTGGGAAAGAATGGTCTTTTCATTAAAAGGTGATGAGTTCCCTGGGGGCCTAGTGGTTAGGATTATGGGCTTTCACTGCCATGGAACGGGTTCAATCCCTGGTGGGGGAAGTTCCCACAAGCCACACAGTGCGGCCAAAAAAAAAAATTAATAAAAGGTGATAAGACAATTGGATACTGATATAGAAAAAAGAACACTTCAATCCAACAAAACATATTCACAAAATATAAATTCCATGTGGGCTGTAGATCTAAATTAAATGTTAAAGGCAAACCAATAAAACTTCTATATTTAATTAAGTTTATAAGAAAGTTCTTACGGCCTTAGACCAGGGAAGCACTTCTTAAATGGAACATAGTATTAACCATAAAAACAATTTAAATAAGCCTAACTATATTACAATTGAAAATTGCCATTGGTCAAAAGACTATTTAAAGAGAGTGAAAAGGTAACCCACAGATTGGGAAAAGACATGTGTAACATATATAACTGACAAAGGGCTCATATCCATAATATATGAGGAACTCCCACAAACCAGTAAGAAAAAGACAGGCAAGCCCAAATATAAACTGGCTTAAGACTGAGCACGTACTTCAGAAGAGAGGCTCTCCAAATAGCCAATAAACATGACCTGGTTCAATCTCATTAGTCATGAGGGAAATGCAAGTTAAAACTCCAGTGAGATACCACTCATTCATAATATTGAATGAAAGAACTCATAACAAAAGAATATATACTGAACATGTAATTTCATTTATATAAAGAACCCATAACAAGAGTATATATTGTATATGTAATTTCATTTATATAAAAAACACATAACAAAAGAATATATATTGATTATATAATTTCATTTATATAAAGGTCAGAAAACAGAAAAAAACTAAACCACAACATTTAGGGATATGTGCTTAGGTGGTCAAAAGTAAAAATAGCAAGAAAGTGATGATTATTATAACTGGGATTCTGATTACTCTAGAGTGACTGAAAAGGGGGAAGATGGAAGCTTTTGTTTTACTAGTAACACTCTCTTTATTTGAGTGGTGACCATACACGCATTTTGCTTAGTAGTAAATCACTGGGCTGTAAATTTCTGTTTTGTTCCTTTTTTCTATGTGTATTATACCTCACAATTTTTAAAGGGTAAAACAATAGATCAAATTCCTTTCAAAGTTAAGATTCACATTAGAAATAATAGACATAAGGTTTTTCAAATGTTTAAATCATCACCATCTTTTAATTCTTTTTATCCCATTTAAAATAGAAACCACGGTATAAACTAATATTTTCTGAAAAAGCTAAACAATAAAACAGGTGGCTTCACACTGAGTTCAGAAAAGAAAATGAAAATATGTGGTTATGAAGTGAGATCTTATCCTCACACTCTGGTTCAAATAACTATGTGTACAATCCAAGCCCTGTACAAAGGCAGAGGGATGCCAAGAGGGAGGTATGATGCCAGAGAGCCTTATAAGGAGCCTGTACACCTTATAAGCTAACTCTTAAACCGTTCAGCACATAAACACTGCTATAAAAGTCTGTTTATGGTAATAAGAGTAGCACTGTCAAGAGCAGTAGCACCAAAGATGACTCTCTAACTTTATAGGCTAGCCCTAAAAATGAATATTCTTATTCCATTTTTCCTTTATAAGTCAGTCAGTAAAGAATTCCAATTTTCCCCTTAAAAAGATATCATTTTTAAAGTTCAAGAGGCATTTCTCTCAATTTACAGAATCACAGTGCTATAAAACTAAACGTAAAGTAGCACAATTGCTTATACCTCTCAAAAGCCCAATTAAAATTTTCAATATTTATTCAAAATGCATTCTCTTAATGGATAGGTAGATAGATATGGGATGAAGCAAACAAAGTAAAATGTTAATAATACAATCTGTTATCAAAGCAGTAAGCTGCAGCTATAATCAGCAAGTAAGCAATGCAACTTAACAAATTTAAAATATCTGAAACATAATTTTAGTCATTATTGATAGTGGTCTGCTCTACCTTCTCAAAATCTCCATATCAGCCCATCACTCACACATTCATGTAAACATATAAGATACACATGTTTGACTTCCATAATTAGGCACCAAGAATACTTTCCTGACTCTAATTAAATAAAATAATTTTCTTTCCAATATGCTAAAAATCAGATGGCTTTACCATATCTTTATTGAGCCTGTAATTTAAGTGTAAACCAATTTCTCACTCATTCAACTCAAAAAGTAACCTATTTTCTAGTGATACAATGAAAAAAAAAGAAAAACTATAACATATTGCCAGGTAGGTATTTCTTACTTATCTTCTGATAATGAAAATAATACATAAAATACCCTACATGTCTAAAAATAGAGAATTTATTAACTAAATTATGGTACATCCATATGATTTAGTACTATGGAGCCATTAAAAAGCTTCACAATATATGATATGAATAAAACAGATTACAAGACCATTTATATGGTTTAACCACAATGTTGTTAACAAGTGAGAGAGAAAGAGAAAGATCAATCGATCAGGGTATCCTGTGAGCCAGAACTTTTAAAAACTGTTTTGGAGAGACACTGCTGATATGTGCAAAACAGGGTGGTAGGCCAGGCTTAGGGTTCAGCCTTCCTTGCTTCTTAAAAAAAAAAATTATCACTCCTACCAGACCCAACTCTCCTGTAGATAACTATAATAAACTCTAAACCAAAACCAAACCAAACAAACAAAATACCCTGAAGGTACTAGAGAGTGAACAAAAGTAGTGATGATTCTGAACAGCACTTGACTCTGGGACAAAGGGGAATGGCCACCTGTTTTTAACAACTTTTAGCCTGCGGGCAGGACAAAATTGGCACTGTGTAGGGTGGATAAAAATTCCAGTAGAAAACCCAGTCTTTCTGGCCTGAAGAACAGAGCGCAGAGTTCAGAGCAACCACAGCTGCTAGAAAGTAAGGTGGGAATCTTGGAAAGGAGAAAACCTCAAGTTCTATGACTAAAAAGTCTGCTCAAATATCTGGCTGATCCCTGAACCACACATGTGTGGGACAGACTCCAACTAAGGATAAAAAAACTAAGCTCAGATAGCGGCTGCCACCAAAGACACACAATCTGCAGCACAGTACAATCGAGTTAATTGCCTGCTGAAGTTAGGAAGGGAGGGAGGAAGAGAGGGAAAGGAGGGAGGGAGGAAAGGAAGGAGGGAGGTAGGAAAGGGAGGGAGGGAGTGTAGGAAGGAAAAAAAAAACCCATCGGAGTAATGTAACAGGTTCCAGAGTCTCCACAACATAACATCCAACATCCAGAACACAATCCAAAATTACTCCACACAAAGAAACAGGAAAATGTGACTCATTCTCAAAAATAGACAATCCAGAGAATCCAAACCTAGATGACCCAGATGTCAGAATAGTAGACAAAGATGTTAAAACTCAAAGACCTAAAAGAAAATAGGTTCACAATAATGGGGGCGGTGGGGGGGAAGAAATCACAGAAAAGAAATAGAAACTATACACAAAGAACCAAATGTAAATATTACAACTGAAAATACATCTAAAATTAAAAACTCACTGGATGGACTTAACAGCTGAATGGAAATAATGGAGGAAAGAGACAGTGAACTTGAAAATAGGTCATTATTATCCAGCCTTAAGAACAGAAAGGAGAGGCATGCAGATGGCATCACCTGGAACTTGAGCAGCTGCATGAGGGTATCAGAGACAATGGCCAAGAACAAACTAAGAGGGCAGAAGTCCAGGAATGTATTCCACATAGCCAGCCAAAAAAGCTTAAAAGGTTGAAACTAAAGCAAAACCAGTTACCACTAATCTTAAGAAGATAAACACTGTGAGTGATGAAAAAGTTAACAGGACTTCCCTGGTGGCACCGTGGTCAAGAATCTGCCTGCCAATGCAGGGGACATGGGTTCGAGCCCTGGTTTGGGAAGATCCCACATGCCGTGAAGAAACTAAGCCTGTGCGCCACAACTACTGAGTCTGTGCTCTAGAGCCCCCAAGCCACAACTACTGAGCCCACATGCCACAACTACTGAAGCCTGTGCACCTAGAGCCTGTGCTCCACAACAAGAGAAGC